ATATGTCTGTCATCTTTGCAATCCAACTTCCTGCCAAAAAACTTCAAACCTGATTGGACTCACAAAAACCAGCGCAGTGAATGAGTGGATTGAACAATCTCCTTCAGCAGAGCGTTGGCATCTTCAAATCCAATACCAGCCGTTGTCAAAACATCGACCCATCCTGAGGATTCTGTGAACACAGCGGCAAGCGTCGCCAGAAGTGTTTTTGCAAGCACAAGCAAGCAATCATGACGTTGGGTACTTGATTTCCCAACTTCAACATTTCACCTTCCTCGCTTTAGATTGGATGATAGAGTAGGTTGCGTCTTCCTTACACCATGACATGCCAAACCGGCACGCATTTCTACATGACTGCGACAACATTTGGTTCTTAAAAACCAAGCATCTCCTATCTCCTCCATGCGCATTCATTGCTTTCTTGGTTTCTTCCCTATCAAACATCATATACAGAGAGAAGGGGGCAGGCAGGACCTTAGTCACTTCCGGTGGCCCATCCAAACAAACCGACCCAGTTGCCACGTCCGCTGCAGCCAGGATGCTCTGTCGCGTCAGACGCTCCTGCCCAAAGGTGGACCGGAACTTCGCTTCAACCTGACAGGATCGACCATTGTGTGACGCACGGTTAGCGTCTTCATTTCTTCATTTTCTACATACCTTCCATAGAACTCCCGCCCAACTCAGCAATTAATTATCTCGGCAACAACTTGGAACATGACGAATACTCTTTGTCAAAAGGATTGTTCTTTCGATTTGCTCTTCACCCAAGACGAAGACCGCTTTTGCTCGCCCTGGCTGGGTTTTTTCGTGAGCGTTACGGGTTCGCAGGGATTTTCATAATTTTCTGCGCGAAGACTGAAGATGGCAAAAAAACCTTGAATTAAGGATTGACCAGGAGCAGAAAAGCTGAAAATCAGAAATTAGCCCGCTTGGATTCAAAAACCAGGGTAGGGAAACACGAAGCACGCGAACGCTGTGCAAAATACGCACCATGTGTCATCTTGCCGAATGACCTACCAGAAGGCTATGTACCCAACACGCGCCCGTAAGTTTCTCTGCAAACTAGGGTATGCCCCAGCCTTCACTAACCAAATGGACTTGCTGCTGACTTCTTCTCTCTTCCCCGAGTCCCACCAGGCAAGCTACACTGAGAAAATCGAGCGCAACCGCGAACTGACAAGCAACCAACTGGGTTGCTCAAGGCTTGTTTCGCGCAGCAGGGGCTGAACAGGCTGCGGGCAAACAATAAAGAAGGAAGGTGTGCGCCCAGCTTTTCAATTAATTCCGGCTTCAAGAACTCGCCGAAACACCAATCACCATCGCAGTTGCACACTGTGCCTGGATTGTCGCAGTTGGTGGTTGAATGTGGTTGATCTACCTTGGGGTTAATTAAGCAGTGGACCGTGACGCCGTGAGGTCCATGAGGGACACGATGTCCAAAAACTGAGGAATTGGAAGTCCGAAAAACATGCATAATAGTTGGAAATTCGTCGGAGTTCGCTGGGGGGCTTCGTCGCAGAAATCACCGGAGTCCGCCGGAGTTCGTTCGCAGGAGTTCGCCGGAGTTTACTGGAGTTCGTCGGAGTTCGCAGGAGTTCGTTCGCAGGAGTTCGTCGGAGTTCGCCGGAGTTCGCAGGAGTTCGTTCGCAGGAGTTCGTCGGAGCTCGCCGGAGCTCGCAGGAGTTCGTCGGAGTTCGCCGGAGTTCGCCGGAGTTCGCAGGAGTTCGCCGGAGTTCGCCGGAGTTCGTCGGAGTTCGCCGGAGCTCACAGGAGTTTTGCTAAATCTTCAAATTTGCACGAGATTTTTTCACATAATCTCCATTGAACGGAGAGTTTGGGCATACATCTCGAGCTGGCTTCAGGTGAAAACGCGCGCTGAAACTAATTCTCAGGGTTGAAAACCTGTAGGAATAACGTGCGAATTGGGACGTCCCAGCCCCATCGCCCTGAGTTCGCAAGGAGTTCGCAGGGGTTGGCAGGAGTTCGTAGGAGTTCGCAGGAGTTCGCAGGAATTTGCAGAAAATGCGTGAATTTGACCGACAAAACATCCGCTGCTGGAGTTCAACCAAATTTTCAATGCGCTGAATGAAAGTATGGCATCCCGACCCTGATGAGACCGAACCATGGCCGTCTTCTCACGCCGATTTCCCGGGGCCACACTGCCAAAGACAGAAGGTGTGCTGAGGTGGTGTGCTGATTTGGCTTGCCAGGGGAAACATATCACGGGGAACAAACAAAGAGTCAGCGGCATGGCTTGGCAAGGCATTTTGGGTGGGAGCAGGCTTCGCCCTAGCCCTGGATTGCAAAGATCCGGGCGACCATTGCTCAGGTATACATAGTAACGCCTTGCCACATATATTCAACGAAGCAACATGCTTCATCATGTTGCGCATGATTTCTTTACACAGCGTTCGCCTTCTTTGTGTTTCCCTCCTTGTCTTTTCTGATCTAAAAGTCCGTCAGGAACTGGGTATGCTTTATGAGGCCATCTCCCATTTTGTAAGGTACCTTGGAGGGTCTGAGTAGGCGCTCTATAAACGCTCGGTCTCAGTTTTTCGGTGCCTGGTCAAGTCTAGATCAAGGCTTTCAGGCCACTTGCCGAAATCAATGGAAATTTCTGAGAACCTGCAAGCTATAGGCAAGCAACCACCCAGCAGCAGTCTCGCACCATGATCAAGCTAAAATCCTGCAGAATATTACGGTACCTGTCTAGGGTCTCCCTATACATAGGTGTCGCCAAGCTTTTCACTGTTATTTTTGTTCTTGTTTGCAGGAATTTGTCCAATCTCAGGGCTGAATTCTTGAAACCAGTTTTGGCAATCATTGAAACAAGTCGGACGCCCATCTTCTCTTGTTTCTGTCCGCCCACAACTTGGTCAGCCCATTGTTACGGGAAATTAGCCGTGACACACCCGTCACGAAAAAACCCAGCCCTGGCCCTTAGTAGCCCTGCCGGATGGTGCTGGGCTGCCTCATCAGCTTCTTTCACCATGTCATGGGCATGATCATGTGAAAAACGTCTTCCAAACTTTGAAAACTGCTCAGATCTTTTCATGTGTTTCGAAACTCTTTAGCTCCTTACTGCTCTCTCAACCCACTTTTTGTCAAAGCAAAAAGGTTGACTTGGTTCAATAGTTCGTGGCACGGGCCTTGCCGAACTCAGCAAGGCCCTTCTGCTGGCTCAGACCTTGCCGGTGCTACAAATTCACGCGTGGAGCCACGCTCAGGTGAGCCCGCAATGAAACATACCAACGGCATGAACAACAAACGTTTAATAACGCACTTAAATGTCTTAAATATAGATTCCCAAGTCCGGAAATGGGCCAAGAGTCTTGAGGGGGGTACAACATATCAACCAAGCTACGCCAAAGCAGGCAAGCTCCAAGGCCGTTTGGCGTGTGGGGCAACTTGCGCCCGGAAAAATTCAAGCATGCAACAACCGCAGGATGCAAGTTAAGGATTGTTTCTCATGCTCAAAGCTCTGTATCTGATCCTTGAGCAGGGTTCCAAGATCCATCTACGAAGAAACTCCTTCGGTCTGGACGGTCAAGAACAGTTTCTGGAACCGATGTTGAAGCAGTGGGGCTGGAACCTTCGGCATGTCTATCGCAATCATTCTCAATATGTGTTTCCAAGCGCTCTAGACGTGCTGTCTGCAGTCCGGAATGTTTAAACAAGCGTGGACACAAGCTTGTTCGACGATGTATATAATAGCTATAATACTATACTGTAATGGCACCTTCCCTGAAAGAGGTACAATATCCGAACATGCAGGTATGGAGGCATGTTTCCACCTCCACCGGTTTTCCTCCAAGAATTCTGTTGAACAAATTCGGATTCCGAAAGATCTTTATCTCTCCGAAAGGATCTCCTCCCGTCCGGACCACTTCGCTCCATTTCAATCTCACTGGGCCCCCCGAACGTCCTCGATGGTCGTCCTGGGCCAGGCCTTCGGCTTCCGCGCCTAAGCCTGTTGTTGCACCTGGCCTGTCACCCGGACCTTCTTGATGTGGCAATTCATCTCCTTCATCTTCTTCATCTAGTTGAAGATCAATGTACAAATCCGGCTTCGCTTTCTTCAACTTGCGTAAGGCTTGGAGGCCTCTGTGCCCGATGTCATTGTGCGCGAGCCTGAGTTTCTCTACTTTTTTGCAACGAAGCAAGCTTGACACAATGCCTTCGACATCTTCATCTTTGAGCCCGCAGGACTCCATCTGAAAGGAGCAAGCATTTGCTTTGGCAACTGCCACAGCTGCATTCCTTGGCAATAAGTTGCCATTCACCACAATCTCATCCAGGTCGACATAGAACGGCAAAGCGGCACAAAGAGTGTTGAGAGCCTCTTCATCCAAGTTTTCTGCCATCAGCTGCTTGGTGGTCCGCACTTTTTCTGCGAAGACCTGAGCTTGAAGCTTCAACACGGTCTCTTTGTCATCATGGTGGGTGAAACGGAGTCCCTGTTCCTCCATCCTGTGACGGAAGAGCTCCGGCGGCATGGGAACACAGGCTTCTAACGAGATCCGAAGCCGGGACCATTGGCGTTCAGCTTGGCACCACCCTCTCAGCAGATAAGGGGTGCTATTTGCTCTAAGCTGGTCAATGGAGACGGCAATGACTCCGCCTGCCTGATCCGAGAAAGCCATCACCGTTCCTGGATGTTTCCACATCTCCGGAGTGAGCTCGTCCAGAATTCGCACTTTGATGGCTTCATGGGCGTAGAGGGTGTGCATCTGTTCCAAAGCCTGCCTGAAGTAGCCCTCCTGTGGTGGTGTTCGGCCACCGTACTGATACAGGGACATGAAATCATAGAACAGCCAAACTGAACGAGTGGAGGTGACAGGAGGACACATCTGGATGATCTGGTCCAGTTGAAACCCATGCGGATCTGGATGCTCCATGCTCTCCCAAGCGTGAGAGATGGACTCTATCACCACAGTCACTCTATGTGGCGAGGGATCTTTGACACAAATGCTCATATTGCCAATTGGATCAATCTCCACCTTCTGCAGCTCTGACGCTTGAACAAGTGCCGGAAGGCCAGCTGCTGTAAATTCACCTTCTGCCTCTTGCCTACGAAGGAACCTTCGGCCTGCAGCAAGAAGCTCCTGCAAATATTCCAGTCGCACCAAAGCGATGTTTGCATCCAGGAGAAATTGGATGAGCTGCTTTGGGTCTTGCAAGTCGTACTTACCTGACAAATCAAGTCAAGCAGTGGAAGTCGCCCAGTTGAACCCTCTCAAACTGAACGAGTAGTCTACATGGGGGTGTTCACCTCACCAGTTGCACGGTTTGACATCCAGTCTTGACACACACACACACAACAAACATCGCTTGTGCGCCTCGTGCGAAATACCACTTATCCGACTGTGCCAAGTGACAAGGCAGGACAAACTTGCTATATATATATATACAGTATATCAATCTATATCAACCCATCACTCACAAACAATCCTGCCGTGCAAAGCTTCATGAACTCTTTGACCATCACCAAGAGTGTCACCCAAGAGTATGCTAGAAGAGTATCGCACAATCGTCTCACGCAAGACTGTCCAACAAAAGCGTCGGCAAAAGTGTTGTACCAAAGCGTCACTCAAGAGTGTCTCGAAGGGTTTCCGAGAAGAGTGTGGCACTTTCTGGAAAACGAGTGTCCAACAAAGGAATAGAGTGCTTGCAAATAGAGTCCGACACTCTTTGATGTGTACAACAAGAACACAATGTTCTTTCTGCTCTGTGGGTCCAAGGAATAGAGTCTTTGCTTGTCAGAGTCTTCGACCAGAAAGTCGACCTGCTCTGCGTGTCACGGACGTCTGAGATATGAACCCACGCTGCATGGCGCTGCCCAAACGTTGTTTTTGTAAACAAAAAATAACAAACGAAGCAAGTGTTGGAGAGAAGGTATTGATCAAACACAAACCATGGTCACTTCAACCAAGCTCGACCCTGCTCCATGTCCCGCCACCCACCAAGATGCTCTGTGGTGCATACTCCTGTCCAAAGGTTCGCTGAAAGGCGCACCGAACTCGGTGAAACAAATGACTTCCCTTCACGATATGCCCTGCTCAACTCAAAACAAGTCTGGCGAAACTCAAAACTGCGAGCATGGACTAGCAATGTCAAGTCACTGCTATGTTTGTCGATTGTTGGGGTATGTTGGGCTGCATCCACTTCCATCTGAGACTCTCCCAAAGACTGCCGTTGCTCAAGCTTGCCCCTGCTGAGCCCCCGTCCTCAACTTCTTCCACCATGTCCTGGAGGTGATTGATGTTCAACAAAATCCTCTGAACTCGCCTCGTCATGTCATTTCCAATGTCCTTGTGCTGCAAGTCACTGTTCTCTCAACAGCACGGACTCAAAACATGTCCATGCACGGACCGGCGCAGTCCCAAAACGACGGGCTACGCGCCGGTGCAGTCCTCTGACATCACCGCCCCAGGAGCCTAAATTCGTTTGGCATGTCTGGTCCCCTGTTGTTTCGCAGAATCCTTTCATATCCTTTTCCCATCTTGAATTTTTGAAGAATACCTATAGGACTGAAGAAAAACGTATACCTATAAGACTAAATCGATTAATTCCTCGCTTAGAAGCAGCCAAGCAAATGGAGAGTGATTCGCTGCAGGAATTTCTCACAACGGGACAAACGGCAGTTCTCAGCCATGGGGACGGACAGCAATATGAGGGCGCACATATAAAGTAATTTGAATGTTCCACTAATTCACTCTTTCACAACCAGATGGGAAGGAACTCTTTAAATGGTCTATTTATTGGAACCAGATTTTTCATTCTGTTTCTATCAACAGCTTCAGTTCCAACTGGTCTAGGAAAGGGATCGAAGCTCATAACAAACATGTCCCAACACATTGCAAAATTGGGTAGTGAAAAAAATGTATCAATTGCAATGTCCCAAAGTCATGTTAGCTGTTTTTTACTCTTATCGTTTTCTCAGGCGGTGGGCTCTGAGCACTAGAAATCTGAATTGTCCAGCTTTCTGTGGGTGTGAAAGCAACCTTGGTCGAAAGTCAACATGACAGATGTCATCTGTTCCTTTCATTTCGCATTCGATTCCTTCCATGTTGCATTCATTTCCTTTCAATTTCCTTCAAACGGTGATATGCTCAAACCGGTCATGTGGGTATCCTCCCAAGCGAATGCATGTTTGTGATATTTTGTTATCGTTTTGTAGGCCTGTGCCGGTTGCTATCTTCAGGGTTCATGAACGTGTACATGCATAAGCTCGTTATCGTTTTTGACTCTTATCGTTTTCTGGGCCAGCAGTGCATTAGTGGTGTTAAGGCGCAGGCCAATACTAAACTGCTGAGCGCGGGGTTATTTCATCAGCCCACATTGACATGCATGCTTTCCCTTTTGATGATCTCGTCTTGTTCCGCCTGCACAGCGAGCGCACCATAGCAGCAACCAACCACAGAGTTTCGTGCCTTCACCGAGCATTGACACCGAGAATTTGTATCCTAATTACCCTAGGGCTCGAACCACCTCCTGAGAAGGTGGTTGGGGTAGGTTTGGGGGGTCTAACCACCTTCTGAGGATACAGTTGGAGCCCTAGGGCCTAATTACTTGTGATTGCACCAAATTCTAAAAATCCGCCGACCCCACACCGTGGGGTGAGGCGTGACTGTCGATGTTAGCCTTAGCCTTAAGCCTGAGCCTCAGCCTCAGCCTTAGATTATAGCCTTATCCTTAGACTTAGACTTATCCTTAGCCTTATCCTTAGCCTTAGATTAGCCTTAGACTTACACCTTACCTCCCCTACACCTCCGGACCCTTGTTGCAGCGACGAAAGTGCGACGTGATTGCTACCAGTGCGACGTGATTGCTACCAAAGTGCGACGTGATTGTGCCCTGGATTGTCCAAGATTCTGCCATCCCAATTGATTTACATCTTGGGGCACCCTCTCTACCCGCGCGAGAAAATAAGCACGGTCCAAAATGGTCCCGGGCTCGAATCCCGGGCTGGTCGCGGCGTGGTCCCGGCCAATGCCCTTGCTTTTTGCTAGATTTTGTCACGTTTTCTGTTGGATTTGTGGGATTTTCAAAGGCTTTTTCAGCATTTTCCTAGGAATGCTGGATTTGTGGGATTTTCAAAGGCTTTTTCAGCATTTTCCTATGAATGCTCTAGGCTTTGTCTAGATTTTGTTACGTTTTCGGCTGGATGCTTTTCCAAGAATTTTCTAGCATTTCCTCTTGTTTTTAGGTTCCCAGATTTCCACAAAAAATTGTTAACCTTTTGCTAACCTATCTTATGCCAGTGTCCGGGCTGGTCGCGGCGTGGTCCCGGCCAATGCCCTTGCTTTTTCCTAGATTTTGTCACGTTTTCTGTTGGATTTGTGGGATTTTCAAAGGTTTTTCCAGCATTTTAGCATTTCCTCTTGTTTTAGGTTCCCAGATTTCCCCAAAAAATTGTTAACCTTTTGCTAACCTATTTTATGCCAGTGTCCGGGCTGGTCGCTCCGCCGACCCCACACCGTGGGGTGAGGCGTGACTGTCGATGTTGGCCTTAGCCTTAAGCCTGAGCCTTAGCCTTAGATTATAGCCTCATCCTTAGACTTAGACTTATCCTTAGCCTTATCCTTAGCCTTAGATTAGCCTTAGACTTACACCTTACCTCCCCTACCCCTCCGGACCCTTGTTGCAGTGACGAAAGTGCGACGTGATTGCTACCATAGTGCGACGTGATTGCTACCAAAGTGCGACGTGATTGTGCCCTGGATTGTCCAAGATTCTGCCATCCCAATTGATTTACATCTTGGGGCACCCTCTCTACCCGCGCGGGAAAATAAGCACGGTCCAAAATGGTCCCGGGCTCGAATCCCGGGCTGGTCGCGGCGTGGTCCCGGCCAATGCCCTTGCTTTTTCCTAGATTTTGTCACGTTTTCTGTTGGATTTGTGGGATTTTCAAAGGCTTTTCAGCATTTTCCTAGGAATGCTGGATTTGTGGGATTTTCAAAGGCTTTTTCAGCATTTTCCTAGGAATGCTCTAGGCTTTGTCTAGATTTTGTTACGTTTTCGGCTGGATGCTTTTCCAAGAATTTTCTAGCATTTCCTCTTGTTTTTAGGTTCCCAGATTTCCACAAAAAATTGTTAACCTTTTGCTAACCTATTTTATGCCAGTGTCCGGGCTGGTCGCGGCGTGGTCCCGGCCAATGCCCTTGCTTTTGCCTAGATTTTGTCATGTTTTCTGTTGGTTTTGTGGGATGTTCAAAGGTTTTTCCAGCATTTTAGCATTTCCTCTTGTTTTTAGGTTCCCAGATGTCCCAAAAAAATTGTTAACCTTTTGCTAACCTATTTTATGCCAGTGTCCGGGCTGGTCGCGGCGTGGTCCCGGCCAATGCCCTTGCTTTGTTCTAGATTTTGTCACGTTTTCTGTTGGATTTGTGGGATTTTCAAGGCTCTTACAGCATTTTCCTAGGAATGCTCTACGCTTTTCCTAGATTTTGTCACGTTTTCTGTTGGATTTGTGGGATTTTCAAAGGCTTTTCCAGCATTTTCCTAGATTTTGTTACGTTTTCGGCTGAATGCTTTTCCTAGCATTTCCTCTTGTTTTTAGGTTCCCAGATTTCCCCAAAAAATTGTTAACCTTTTGCTAACCTATTTTATGCCAGTGTCCGGGCTGGTCGCGGCGTGGTCCCGGCCAATGCCCTTGCTTTTTGCTAGATTTTGTCACGTTTTCTGTTGGATTTGTTGGCTACGGCTAAGGCTAAGGCTAAGGCTTAAGGCTCAGGCTAACATCGACAGTCACGCCTCACCTCAGGCTACTCCCTGGGACGACCCTGCCACTAGCTTTTCCCCTTAGGGGGTCGGCGGCTGCAGGCGGTAGCCTGGTAAATATGGCAAGGCAGGACACGTATTGTAAACAATGCTGGCAACGTTCACCAACCGCAGTCAAGCCACAACTATAGCACTTAGAAAGCCACCATAATCCACGTTGGCTTCGTTGAGAGTCAGCTCATCTCGCCTGACAAAAATAGCAGCAAGATCGAGATCCAAAAGAAAGTAGAGGCGGGCAGAACAATCACCATCCAACAATATGCTAAAAACTCGTTCAAAAAAGTTTCTTCTGACAGCCACACGAACCAAAACGGTTCTGACCAATGAGCAATGACTTTTGAAGAACACCAATGTCATCATAAGGGATATGTGTGTGCATTGACATGATGTACATGCATGTGACAAATAACATGTCAGCCGCGGTGCCAGCTGGGTTTATAACCTTAAGCAGCCATGAACATAACATGTAACTGTAAACGTCATGCAGGGCATTATCTCTCCTTTTTGCAAAACCAGTACACCTCCTTCTATCAGGTTTGCTCTCTGACAACAACGATCAACCTGACCCTCTCAATGCTACTTCCACATGCGACAAATGGAAATTCCTGTCGTTGTTTGCATGATGAACATGACGCTCAAAGTGAAGTGCACTCTCATGGATATGCAGGTATGCTGCCAGTGGGTTTGTGCAAGCAGCATTGAGATGATACAATGCGATAATGTAGTATTGACCTTGTTTGGACAAGTCTTAATCTAGCATAACTAGTGTCTTCCCAGCTGCTGGAACCCTTTGATTTGAAACAAACACAACATCCAAACTTGCCGCAGGCACAACTTCTCACCAGAGCTTGCGATCAGCTCTAGGACCTTCGTGTTCTCAAGCTGCAACTTTTTCCTCAGCTGCGAAGTGCTGGCAGATTGGCAACTAGGCATGAGAGTGGCACAAAAGATGCAACCACCTGTGGTCGCTAACGTTGAAGGCTACATAAAGTAATACACAATGCATATGCAAGCAAATCTCTCAGAAAGTGGTACAAATCTCCAAACAATGTTCAAATCCACAACATCTGCAAGCAAATCTTCCAAAAACATGTACAAATCTCCAAACAATGTTCTTCTCCATTCAAATCAGCACGTGTAGAATCATCCTCCGGCCAAGGTGCTGCACCTCCTCGCGGAGCTCCCGCACCGTGCGGTCGGGCTGAGGATCACCTGCGACGAAGCACGCTGCGCACGCTACGCGGCGCGCTTCGCATCGTTGGGTGGTCAGAGTCGGTCAGGTGCGGTCGCTGGTGACAGCAGCTATATGCTAGCTAGCTAGCTGTGAGGTTATGACCAGGTTCTAGAGGTCAGTGAGTGAGGTGACACCATATACCTAGAACCTGGTCATGACCTCTCTTTTGGATCACCAACCACCCAAAAGATGGTCTTTTCCTATCAAAACAGAGGTCAAATGGGCTCGAGGTATATATATATATACACATATCAACTTAACTGATAAATCTGCAGGCAATCAAACAATCCGGGACGAAACAAACGCATGTTGATTGCACCTGCCAAACAGGCAAGTCTCAAGGCACATCCAAAAACATCAAATCACTGCCAAGCTGCAAGACACGTCTTGTCCGCTCATCAGCAGGACATGCACCTGGGAGGCGCAGGACAAAACCGGACATTCGTCACGTCATGGAACCAAACCATCGGCGCAGCGCTTGGCTTGATGGTGCCCCCTGCCGGGGGCGGTGGTGCTAAGTGATTTCAGAGGCCCCCACACCCCTAACAGGGTAGTAAATGGGCAGTGCTTCGTGATTTTAAATCGGCACCGTTGGAAGCCTATAGGATGGAGACGTGAATTTCTTTCATGGAGTGTCCATTGCCCACAGGACAAACTACATTTATTGTAATCATTTTCTTTATACATTGGTTTTACATCCGTCCTAGCCTGCACAGTCAAAATGGAAGTAGTGAGTTACAAAGGTGACTTATATATACTTTGTCGAAACGTCGACATTTGCTCGCAAAACGTGCCCGGTGCACCAGTGCTTCGAACCTTCAATCAAGCTTTGAATCTATTCCAGTCTATTCCTGCCATGATGGGAGGGTTTTGGGGGATAACATCTATGAGAAGCAAACACCACCTTAACAGCGGATGTGGTGCCTTCAGCGGAGGATCCTTTTGGCCCGGAGAAGCTTTCCGGACCGGACCGGGCTCCGAACGGCCCATCTCCGGACCGGTGTGTTTCGGTGGTTAGACCCGGCTGGAGGCACCCACCCCTGGCCCAGCTTCGGAGGATATGGTTGGAGCCTTAGGGATTAAACATTGGCTCTCACAAACTCAGGGACTTTCATTCCAAAAGCGGAAGCAGCGAAACAGTGGCGAGCACTCAAAGAATGCCAATATCGCCAATACACATTGAGAGTGACATCCAAACGCATGTTCTGCAGATACGTTCCCCAAACAGCGCCCGCCCGTCCAACCGTCCAACCGTGCCCGCGGCACGGGACGCAGCACGCCCATCACCGTCCGTTCTTCTCGCTGCTTGGCTCGGTCGAAGGGCGTCTCGCCTGCCGGCGAAGGGTGGTTCCGCGGCCAGGGGTCGCAAATGAGATCTCACATGAGACCCCTGGAGAGATCTAGTCTTGCGCATTGGAGGATGAAACAGTGTGGGTCGCAGTGAATCTAGTCAGATCTGAGATCTCAGATCCAAATGAGAGACGATCTATTTCCTATATACCTTGGGTCTATCCTATTACCTACCTGGGCCCAGTGGATGATGATGGTTAGTAGAGGCCTTGTACAGGTGATAGGACAGACCCAAGATAAACCAATTTGCACTTAGTCACTAACTTAGTCACTTTCATGTCACAAATTCATGTCACAAATTCATGTCACTATCGTGAAATTGGATGTAATTAAGTTGGAAGATGTTGGAACATTGGTGTTTCTGGACTCAGCTTGACCAAGGGTGTCGTCGGCCATGCTGGAGGCGCTTTGACACTTATTGACATGAGCCAAACGATAGGAATGCTCGTCGGGACGAAGAACGGAAACATTGCGAGAAAACACCACGTGACCCGCAGACCCATCTTCTCCTTGTACGTGTCTACTTGTCATCATAAAGCACGTGCTGTTCTTTCAACACCAACACTCTCAGGGCTGCCCACCGTGCACCGCAACTCTTCTCATTAAACAAGATAGGGTAAGCCTGAGCATAGGCCATGATACACTGACCCCGCTTGTGCTACACAACTGCGCACGTGGTATCAAAACATGCCAAGCACGTTCTTTCCCCCGGTTGGTTTGCGTGCCTTGGACTGCGGAGATGTTTTTTCCAACTGAGAAATTTCTCTTTCAACATTCCAACCAAGTTTCTAAATCCTTCAAGAACCAGCGTGGAAGACCTCTCGTGGCCCGTCCTCACCTTTTCCACCCCGCTCTTCCACTCCAATTCGACCGAACTGGGGCTCCCCAAGGCCTGCGTGGTTCTCTGCTTCGACCTCTGCGTTGGCTGCAAGGAGTCTCTTCACCACGCGCGGGTGGCCTTCCCTGGCCGCCAGGTGAAGTGGCCTGTTGCCTTGGAAAGGCTGAGGGCGACGGCGACGTCATCTTTCTCCTTTTCTGGGAGCAGGACGCTGCTGGAGGCACTTTGGGTCGGGGCAGGGCCCTTTCAGCCTTTATGAGAAATGTTCCATGCTCTGTTTAACAATATTTCCGGTCAAAAATGGAAGCAGCATCCTCACCAAATGCTGGGATCTAGCCCCTAGGATGAAAACATACTCTAAGCTGGCCAATGTTTCTGTTTAAGAGGAATTCCAAGATGTCTTCGGTATCATGGACGGGTCTTCCGTTCTCATCTATTCACATGACTCTGGGTTTGTGGGCTTTCTACCGTCCCTAGGACGTCCGTATCTTGTCAGGACTGGTCACTTCTATGGTGAAAACGAGAGATGACAAAGAACGAGAAGCAAAGCAATAGCGGCAAACAGTTCCGGTAGAAAAAACCCTGACAGTCCTGTATTTAACTCATTTTACCCCTAGACGTAGTGGTGGATGACTACTAGGTGGAACAAAATGAGTCATTGGAAGTCCTGGGTCATTTAGTATATTTAGTGGTGGCGCTGCCGGCGGTTCCGACTTCTATACAAACCTCCTCGATGGAGTTCACGTAGGCGCTGAAGGCCCCAAACCAAATGGTTTTGGTATGAACATCGGGCTGGCACAACTATATTGGCCAGAAATTAATCCTTAGTGTCTTGTACTTGGTGTATATTCAGAACATTCGTGAGACTCATCGTAGATACTTGTTCCTCATGTTTCAAGGTGTGCGCTCCTTTCACAGTGCCTGTTCCTGCAAGTCCAACATATGTTTTAGATTGCTTTGGCACCTTTCAAACGCCTTTCATGGAGTGCATTGGAGCACGTGGGATCAATGAAGTGTAAATCAATTGCCGGACACATGGATCTTTTGGCAAACCTCAACACTTCCTGCTGACACGATCTTCGAAGTCTTACGCAATCTTCTCGATGCGTATGCTTGAGCAGCACATGCTGCACCTTCGTTTTCTCACAGCCGCCCAAAAACCGTTTTCCACACACTCCACACTGCCTCAAACCCAAACTGCTTCCCACTTCCACACCGCCGGGGGCTCCGGACACTCCAAGCCCTCCTCCACAGCTGGGGCGACCCGGCCACTTTCGGTCTGCGCCTCCACGTCGGCTTTGGCCGCCAGGAGGCGCTCGATCACGTGGCGGTGGCCGCCGTAGGCCGCCCAGTGCAGGGGCCTTTGACCTCGGACACGTCCCAGGGCGACTCCGCCTGGTTCTTCCTTTCCCGACGGTCTTCAATTTAGCGGTAAGTATGGGGTGGTAGGGGGGGCTCGTTCTGGAGGCAGACTAGGCAGGGCTTTCAAACATGCGGCCTTTGGATGTTCGTTTTTGTGAATCACCCAATCTGCATGGTTTTCGATGGTTGAACCCTGAAACCATTCTGAAACCTATGGCCCTAAGCTGATGTAAGTCTGAACCTTCCCCTTTTCAAGACCCTTGACTTCAGCCGCCGGGGCCTGCGGCGTTTCCCCTACGGCGCTCCGGGACTCCCGGCGGAACAAACCGTCTTCCGCCTCCACGGCAGCCTTCGCGGCCAAGAGCCGCTGGACGACCTCCACGTCTCCCTGTTCGGCCGCATAGTGCAAAGGTCTTCGGCCTTGGGATAGCATGGGAGCACGCGAGAGGCATGGTCAAGACAAGGGAAAACACTCGAACTGCTGGGTCTTTGTCCCATCTCACTTCTTAGAGAACATCCTTGGTAAAAGTACCAGTGAAGATCCGATACATTGGTACAAACAAACATGAACACCGCAATAGCACAGGTGTTGAATGAGCTCTGAACTTGCCGGCTTGTTTCTCATGTTTCTGATTGTTGTGGGTGTCCATGGTCTGATGTGAAACGCGAAGTTTCGCCGCTGGCTGCCCCTCTTTTCCCAACTTGCCAAGGTCGGAGAGTTGATGACCACAGGCCCCTCCACAGACTCATACAGACTCCAAGGCCCCCTGGCGAAGAGAAGTCTGGTCCTGGAGTTCCAAATCTGCTCCAGCTTCGATGAGACGTTGCACCTCCGCCGCATCGCCCTGCTCAGCTGCTCGGTGCAACCCCGAACGACCTCGGGGTTTGGACGACGGTCAACCCCGGACGACCTCGGTTCGGCGGGTGAGGTTTGGCACGTCGAAGCCTTCAAGAAAGCCTTACTACCAAGCGCACCCAAACGAACCGTCCGCCTAGTAGACCCCCCCGAAAGGGTAGGGTGAGCAGAAAGCCGGAGATCAGTTTTTCCACGCCAACCGCCTGAGAACCCCTCACCCAGGAGGAAATCATCCAGACCTCAGGCGCACAAATGAGGAAATCATGTTTCACAATACAGAGCTGTGGCTGACGTTTTTGCAGGTTCATGATGTTCATCTTAAAGGCCTTCCAGACTCCCTGCCTTCACATTTAGCCCAAACAAACCAAGCAAACACTCCATGATGATCTGGAGCGGTCTGTCGACATTCGGAATCTAAGAGCTCAACGTGTAGCTTGGTCAGCCATGTCAGCCGTGTCCTGCATGGCCTGGAACTCACATTCACGGCTGAATGTAAGCCAAATAGTGATAGGCTAGGCAACGGCTTCCAAGTCTTCTCAGCAAGTCTTCCGTTCGTCTTCTTCTAACTCAGTGTTCTCGTCCTAAGGTACCACAGTACCGTATAGAGATAGATACCAAGCCTTCGACAGCATAGCCATGTCGGTACGGGATCCGCATACCCTGACCGTAGCTGACTGGTGCAACGAAAGCAGGGTGGCTTTTTTGGTGGCTGGATCCAATAGAATCTGTATTGTGGGCTCATTCTTCCCTTATTCCCTACGTTCGTCGCACCAGTCAGCTATCGGGAATTCCGTCCACTTCGGACCTCACCGGACCTCACCGGACCGGTGAAACAGAACAGCTCCAGAGTGGACCGGTGGACCGGTGGCGGCTATACCGATCCCTGCAGGGTCCAGCAAGCTTGACAGACCAAACAAACAAAAGGTGACGAAAGTTTCGAGCAAAGGAGTCGAAAAACTGGGCAGTCCAGGACTATTAGAACTTCTATGGACTAATTAGGCTCCTAATAGAACTTCTTAGAGTCTTCTAGACTATTCTTTCCAGATTCTCTAAGAACTTCTGAAGACTTCTCCAAAATCGACCTCATCCAGGGCCCAAAGGTCTCTTCATCCAATCACTATGTGATGCCACGAGCCACGCATGAGCCGCACTCACATGCCATGGCTGTGGGTCCTGTCACCGGGTAACGGTGTTGTTCCCACTGAACACGAACATTATGAGTGGATTGAGAGTACTATCCCTAGGGCTCCAACCACCTCCTGAGAAGGTCGTTGGGGTAGGTTTGGGGGGTCTAACCACCTTCTGAGGATACAGTTGGAGCCCTAGGGTATAGTAGATGGCACAGACCCCAATGTCGGTGGTTTAGATAGACCCTCATCTGTCTAGGACATCACGGGGGAAACGTGCCATGACGCCTCTGAAATCACTGTAAATGGAACCACCGACCAGGAGGTCAACTGAGGTCAAGCTACCTAAAATGACAGCCTGGCAGTGATCTAGTTCCACACAGCCACCGGATTTATAAAGCATCAAGCCGCCACACCCAGACACGACCTGTCTGGGATTGGCATAGACTACATACATTGACCCCCTTGAGGATCAACCATCCCTGGCCTTTTCTTGGGAGTGTCAGGACTGCCAGTCAAACGGAGTGGGCTAGGGGGCACTTCCTCCAGGCGCTTCCGCGGAATCGCCACCGAGGTCCCGCGACGTCGCCTCCGGTGGATCCATCGAACGGCGCGGCTGAGCCGGATTCGCACAGCTGAGCCAAAAGGCGGATGGTCGTAGCCAAGAAATGCTTTCATCTCTTCTGACTGGTGCTTAGCAAAGCAGGGTGGCTGAGGGTGGCTGGATCCAATAGAATCTGTATTGTGGGCGAAACTTCCCTTATTCCCTACGAGTCGCACCAGTCAGTCTTTTTTTTCAGCTGAAGGTACACTATCATGTGGCATGCGCAGCATGGTTCTCTTCTTCCCGATATGTTGCATCATGGTTCTCCAAAAACACATCCCTATACAGGTCAAAGACCTCATATTACTGGACATGGTCATACCAAAGCACTATACTTAAAGGAGGTAACAACAATGAAAATTTCAGGCTTTTACTGGGTCAGACTGGACCTGTAGAGCCTCTGTAGAGCATGTTCTTCTCACTGTTTGTTCAACGCCTGGTTTTGTTCAGGTCACGGCCCTGTCCTGCCGGTCGATGACTCGATGGTCCGGCACATGGTCCAAGGATGACTCGCTGGGCGGACCTTGGGATCGATCTACTGTACCTTTGTTGGTACGTATAGTGCTTCCATGTGCTTCCAACAGGGACTGTCTCATGCATGTAGCTTCTTTGCTTTGTTTCTTCATTGAAATCGAAGTAATGACATATATAATATAATGAACAATACCGACCTGTCTGACAGGTCACGCCCTCTCAACGACCCCAGAAACAAAAGCATCAACCAAGGTGATTTGGTCGCAAAGCTCTGATTTTGCTCTTCCAAGTGGATCCTCCCATGCGCGCTTCCGAGAGCTCAGTGCGCCGAGCGTGGGCGTGGATCCTCCCGCAGCGGGCGGCGCCGCCTGTCCGTGCCGGCCTTGAGCGGAAAACGGCGTTGCAGCGGTGGAGATCGTCAGGTTGCAGCGGTCAGGTGATCAGTGTTGTGTTTCTTCCCCCAGGTATGGCATACCTTCTCAAAAGGTTTGGATGGCCCAGTCATACCTTCTGAGAAGGTATCAGCTGGCTTTTTTTAGGGTTCCAGTTTTAGCTGCTCGCAAAGAGTTTATTGGGAATTGGTGGGAGTCTTCGCCACACACCGATGGAAGATGTTCCTTCATGTTCCTTCCATTGTGAAGTTTGATTCTTCAGGCCGAGAGCGTGTACATGAGTTTGCCGGGTTCACGTGTACTAAAGGTTCTCTCAAAATGATACTGCTCACACCGGCTTTATCCCCTGTTCCATCTAGGCCGATCACGATGTGCATGTGCCAGTCTGGTGCTGGTATCTTGTAGTTTTGTGGAGTGTTGGCCTTTCTCCAAACACTTTCTCTTCACCTGCTGTGTTTCCCGACAAGCCAACGCTCCAGCAGCACGCCGCCAACGCCCGCCCCGCGAAGAGAGCGGCCGCTGCGGGCGGCGGCCGACGGCGAGAGACTGCCTGGTCAGGAACTCCGCTGTCCGAAGGAGGGGAGGATTAAAGACTGCAACAGGATGAGAATAGGATGTTGCAAGCAGTTGAAGACGAGCAGCAAGGTAGGAAACAATGACGCAAAGGATAAGGAATGAGCCAAAGAGGGACAGTAGTAGAAGAGATGGCAAAGGAGGAAAAGGGGATGAAGGTAGAAAAGAATAAAGCACACGATCTTGGACATAGAAATATCAGAGAGATGCAACAGAAAAAGGAGCCAAAGAGATGCAAATACAACCGAATGGGGAAAGGGGGTGCAACAAGCTGGGCCACGACAAACGAGGGAGAGATACCAGTAGCCACAGGATGCCACAGGACGAAAGGCAAAGGGCAAAGGGCAAGGCACATGATACATCCATCAGTCAAGAACCCAAGAGGACGGAGCAACAAAAACAAACGCTTCAAAACATCAAAGGTTACATGGGTGTGCAAGTATCTAAAAATATCCAAACATATGGAGGCCTCAACAGGCCCTGGCTGGGTAGACTGGTCTGCAGGGGGTCCTTGGGTGGGACTTTTCAAGAAGTTTCAACATACCACCCGAAAACCATTGGGTGTCTGTGACCCTCACGAATTTCTGGGGGGTCCCAGTGATGCTCAATGCAAGCAAAACCACAAGTTGCAAAGCCCCAAAACCCCATTGGTTTGGGAGGTCTCCCACATTTAAGCGAAACACCCACACGGAACTCTGACCAGTGGAGATACGAGCTTCCCAAATCCGGCGGCTGAGATGCGCCCGCACGGCTGAGATGCGCCGCGTCAGGGTTGGCAACCTGAGGTTGTGCGCGAAAAGGGTTGGCATCCCATGCTTCAAGGCTCCATGGTGACTTGCAGGATCCATTCAATTTATGTCCTATTGTTTTCCTGCAGACCTGAGAACCAAAAACACCTATAGAGCGGAGTGATGAGTGATAGGATTCCTTATGATCCCTGGTTCAGTTTTTTTCTGTTTTTACATAACAATCGGTTTCTTTGAACCCGAACAGGACCTCACTCGCCGTAGCGGTGAGATCGAACTCACCTCACCTCCAGAGAGGTCTGTGGTTCGTCATGCCCAACGAGTCCAGGACCCGAGATTCGGTGTTCCCTGTGGTGTCCAACCTGGAAACCCAGACTCCCAATCGGTTTGGGGGGATTGAGCCTATACTACCGGGAAAAAGTATGGAAAATCATCTGATCAGTCTGATCAGCCCAAACCGGACAAGACCTATAGGTAATCAGATCATATCAGATCCACCTCAAGAGAATTGGACCTCTCCACCTCGCAATTAACTAGAGTCAGCCGCATTGGGCCGGTCGCTTCGACCAATCACTGGGGCACCCGACGCCGGCGCCGGTCACCCGACGTCAGAAGCGCCGGTCGGGCACGGCTGCGGGGGTGGGGGAAGGCGCTTTCGTGGGGTTTGGGTCCAAATGCTGCAGAAGTTAAGCCTTCAGGCCAAGTGAAAGGTTCACGACACAAAGACAAGATTCTCTGAAAGGAACCTTTCACTTGGCTTGAAGGAAAGCCAAGTGATTGGTCGAAGGGACCAGCCCAATGCGGCTGACTCTAGATTCTCTGAAAGGAAAGATCAGAGATTGATGATTGCAACTCTCGTTCTCTCTTCTTCAAAGAAAAACATCAATCTAAAACCACAGCTGCATGGATGAACAAGGGCACAAGCACTGAGAATCTCCCGGACAAAATGGCCCCCCAAAATTCCAAACCTCTCAAACGAACCGGACAAAAAATAACTATCTCCTATAGAACCTCTTCCAGTCGAACATCTGCGACTGAACGAACGGACATCAAAAAGACATCTCTTGCCTGCTTTTTAGAACGCCTGTGCCCCCCCCCCAAAAAAAAAATGCACCAAAAGTCGCTCAAAAATAGAAAACTGGGTGGCCTCCCACAGGCCCTCCAAAGACTTGCGGTCAACAAAACATCTCTCTCAAACAGGCTCTTCTAAAAGCTCTCTCGTCTTCACGTCTCTTCAAACTCTCCCCACAGTCTCTCAAAGGTGCAACCAAACATCTCTCTCTCAAAAGACTCAACTCCAGGCTGCGACTTGCCGATCAGCGCGGCACTGAGGCTCGGTGTCTTGCACTCGCTCGTCCTATCGTCCTCGCTCCTGTCCGGTTGGAGTCGTCCCGCTGCCAAACGGGGCACCGGCCAAACGGGGCAACGTTTGTTTTTGGATAGACATCACTGTAAAAGGAGATCTATATAGGCCAAGGAACCTCCAAAACAAGGCTTATACAGCAGATGAAGCCTTGGAACGTGGTTGGGTTCACCCTCCTCGAACGCAAAGGAGATGGCTTCTTCTTGCTTTGATTGCGCCCTTCAGCAAGTCGCCATGTCCATCAAGCCCGTTGCAACAGTCAAAGGTGGAGGAACAGCCATGCTTTCTCAAGTGTAGGTGTTTTCCGGGCAAAGGCTGTTGATGGACCTGTGCTTGTGGATGGAATCAGGTCACGTGCTCCCCCACTCCCGATCAATAGCAAGCAGTTCCCTCATGCATCCCATAAGACTATTGCAAACCCATTGTAAACCTCACCAAGGAAGAAATCTTCTACCCACCCCCTGCATGCACCCAGTCACCCAGTCATATCCGGAGCCCCAGGCCTGCGTAGGGTGCCTAAGCTCTTATCCTCGGGTTCGGACAGATCGGCGATACGCAGCTCATTGACATTTGATAGTTCCCTGCCCAATTCATCCCTTCCCTAACCAAGGGATCGATTGTGCATCCCAAATAATTAATAGTCCGATGAATGCATCCCATTTAGATGATTCCTGGCCCAAGCATTCACTGCCCCACCCTTCTTCTGAGAAGATATACTCGTTTGGAGATGAATGCTTAGATGTGGAGGATCCATCAGGCACCACTGATTCTGATAGGCTTGGATCCATCAGGCACACCTGCACCACCTGCAGAAACACATAGCACCACTGCAAACAGTGTATGTACATCCGGTCCATCGAATCCTATTAATTACCAGGGCCTATTCGTGGATGATGATGGGGCCTGGTTGCAGGCCTTGCTAGTTCAAGAATAATGATGTTCTTGTCCACTGACAGTTCCAGGTAATTGGACAAACCCAACACCTTTTGAGGATACAGTGGATATATTATAAATGTTAAACACTTTCTAACCGTGCCACACAATGCCAAAAACCCTTGGACCCTCGACCGTTGAATAGCGGACGACGACGCGATTCTTGTGTTCAGTTCTGAGCTCAGAACGCGAAACCAGGACGAGAACGCAACAAACGGATCCGTCCTCCCCCCAAAAGACCAAAAGCAAGGGGGTTCTCAGAAGAACATGCCCAGGACTTCCTCCCAGGTCGCCACCCCAACAAAATTCCACACACGCCAAGGTCGCCACAAGGTCAGAGGTGCTGATCTGGTTGCTTCCGGTCGCCCGGTCCGGTCCAGGGGTCGCCCACTACTCCGGTCGCTCTCCGCTCTCCGCTCTCCGGCCCGGTCCCCTCCGCCCCGTCTCCGCTCTCCCCTTCGTCGCTCCGGGTGTCCTCGCCTTTTGCCGGCGCTGCCAGAGGCTGGACATCGGAGTCGATGTGCCATGGCGAGATCGATGGAGGACGGAGGATCGAGTGGGAAACAAGTCTCTGGTGAGAGGATACGGTGGTTGTGTTGGGTTCAAGTGGTTGAGGTAGAGTTCGGAATCATAGGGATTTGCACTCAAACTACATAGTCTCAAAATTGGTGTTTTTTTTTGTGTTTTCTTCGGTCAGAGTAAGTGATGTTTTCACCGTGGGGAGATGTGTTTGCTTACACATGTCACCTCTCAAAAGAACTGTGCAACTTGTATCTGATTAGCATCCCCAAGAAGCTGCATGATGCTGCAAGATGTGGTCTTGTTTCAAGCAGCGGTCCCCCTCACAGATCTGGCGCCGCTCCACAAGTCTTGACAGATCCGCCCGGCGTCTTCCAGCATATCACACGTCTCGGTTGGTTCGTTGGGTCCGTTGGGTCCGTTTTGGGGGGAAGCTTCCCCCAACCCCTTTGAAGCTGAGCCAACAGTGAGGGCGAGAAGGCCAACGCTTGGTGCGGTGGACGAAGAGCACGAGCCCGGCGATTTGGGGGTCAAAGGCGAAGAAGGCATGAAACGACACCTTGACGCCCTGATGCTCTTCGTTTTTCAAATGGCAAACCAAAGCGTCCATATTCCAGCAGTAGCCCGCGTGAGTGTGAATGGCACGCATTGCGCCTATTCACTATAACTCTATGCAGCTATGCATCAAGTTGACCAAGTCCCCGCGACACATTCATGAGATTTTGCAAGCTTCAGTGACCCGATCATCCAAAAACCAAACGCTTGCAGTTTAAACAACTAGATTACACATAACAAAACACCCTCCTTTACTTTGATCATCGTTCGATACTGATCTGTTAAGATTGGGCCTATCCTATTACCAGGGTCCAGTGGATGATGGTCAGGCTGCAGGCCTTTCTCTAAAATCTATATATAGTTAAGTGATGTTCTTGTTTACTGTACTGATTGCTACAGGTTTACTGCAACAGACCCAATGTCAAAATATGAACACCGGAAATGAACAGATTGCTCCAATAATTACAAGGGATGTCAACCTACCATGGTTTGGTTTCTGGAGGTGCCATGACGAAACCAGCCACATAATATGAAAACTGTTAAGACATGTTCAACGAAAACTAACATAGACCCTGATGTCCTGGCCCCCTGGAAGATGGTTTTCCTCTACCAACCAGTGGTTTTCAGGGTCCATGGGATCGTCTTCCAGGGTGTATGTTCAAAGTGGTGACCGTGGTGTTTTCTTCGCATCCGGGAACAGGTTTCCGTCACGGTGTTCGTTCGTACCAACGGTCACCACTGCCCACCGCCCACCGCCCGGGGTTGCGCACCAACCGCTGCCCGAAGCGTCAAGCAAATATCCCTCGGCGGTTTCTGGAGGTGAAAAGAGTTGGCATGGTCAGTCCATGAATTACTAGTAACAAGGGCATTACTACTAGTAGCAAGAAGCTACTAAGTAGTGATGCCCATTGTTAGCTTCTGGTTCCTAGTTCCTAGATGTTCCTAGTAGTAATGCCAGGAGCTACTAGTAGCCACTTGTTGCCATATTGGTCAGTCCATCAATACGGAAGGACGAGTTTTCAACAGTTTGGGTTCTTCTCTCATCAGTTTGGGAAGATGTGAAGATGTGGTTGAATTGCAGCTCTCCGAGGAATTCCCTGTTCCTTTCTTTTTCTGAATAGGGTTGGGGAGGCTTGGGCAGGGTTGTGGCTAGGTCGACTAGGTTGGGCTCTGGTCAAAGATGATTGAATACCAGTCGGATTCACGGATTTGAAAACATGTTCCTGTTTCTGTGAAACCAACGTTGGAGATCTTGGCATTGCTTGTCCAAAAACCTCTACCTAAAAAGCATCCCCAAGAACGCACCCCTCGGCACCACCCCATGCCCTTCCGGTCTCAGAACGAATGACTGCATGAATAGCCACTTACACAAGACCCTTTCAAAGTCCCTCTTTAAAAGCTATGGTGATTTCCGTGTGTGTAGTTGGCCAGGTACCTTGCAGTCAAACAGAGCCATTCAACTCGACACCTCTGTTGGGTCTCTGCCCAAGCAACCATTGTTGTTCTAGGATTTTACACCACAAAGCCAACAAAACCATTATACTTATAGTGAATTTGTTTTAATGGTTCGTCAACCGAGTATCATCAAAAATCAGACGAGACAACCACATCATCCAACCGGACGGATTCCACCTCTCCGGGAGGAACTGAGCTTCCCACGCCCTGGGCGAAGGACGGTGGCTTCAAGACATCCGCCGTCACGTCATCTTTGGACGTGCCTTCAGTGCCTCGCGTAACACACATGGCATGGGACCAATTCAGGCTTTGTGAAGGTTCGTTTTGCCCCACTCTTCGTAGGTCTCAATGTTCCTTCTTCACGAAGGTTCTCATGAGCTTCTGTTGATGGCATGCGGCCAAACGTCTTCAGGCTGGAAGACCTGCAAAAACGCACGATGGCTTTTCTAGGAACATGCGGAAAGTAATCTGCTTGAGAGAATGACAGGTTTTGAGGTTTGACTGTTCCATTGAATTGGCAAAAGTTCATTTTCACAATATTGCCCAGGCCACCAGGTGGGATTTGCATGTACACAAACTCTTCGAACCTTCAACGGTTGCCATTTCAATGAATATAGGTAGCACCCCCACCTCAACTTGAGCAAGCAGCTTTCATGCCCAAAAACAAGTAACCAAACCTTCCACAACTGGACTCATCTTACCTCCTATCTCGAAAAGCCATCCACCAAAGCCAAAACTGCGGCCATCAAGCTAGCGAGCCCGACCCTCAACCAATCCAGGCAAAAATCACTGGCCAGTGATCGACTCTACACGTAGTAAGGTTCAGGGCTCTTCCCTCAAATTCTAAAACACTCCTTGGTGAGGGAAGATGCCAAGGCCTTTCCGGAGATCCAAAGATCCAAATCCATCCAGTTCCACAAAAAGCCACCGGGCTCTTCCCTCGAATTCCCTCCTTGGATTCGCGGCTGCCAGGAACTGGGAAAAAACAACAGATATTACCCATGTCAAGGGGATTTGACCTTAAGGAAAAACAACAAAAACCTTATAGGGAAAACAACAAAAGAACACTCACCTGAATAGAAGCAACGTCCCTCTTGATCACCCAAAAAAGAATGCTTGGTCACTCTGAGTGCCCAAACCTTGCGGAGAAGCCTTTTCCATCGGCTTCCCTCGCTCACCTCGCTTGTGAGGGGTTGCTGCGGAGGAGGAGACCGGGGGTTCGGTTCCTGTCTGGAGGCTGGAGGCGAAGCTCCCTGTATGGGTCGCACTGGCCGTGAGATATTGGACCAAAAATAGAAAATAGCAAGTGGTGAAGAAACACTTGGAAGGACAATGAAGAAAGCCAAGTCTTTTCTTTTGATGAAGAATGTCTTTAGGACATCTCAATTCTCTTGGGAAGAAGGATGAAGAAGGCCGGGTCTTGCAGTGCAATCAAACAGGCATGGTCTTCACCACCTGACTCTTCGTTTTGACAGATCTCCGCCACCCTTCCAACCATGTTCACAACGTGGTGCAGTTCCGATCATCGCATCTTTCGTGCCAGCAGGACGAAGCCTCGACGAAAGGTGGAACAACACTCTACCATTCACCTAGGCAAGGGCTCCAGTCGTTACCTTCTTTTCGGTTCGGTGGGACACGGGGTGCACCGGGTGGGTGGGTGCCTTTAGAGGGTGCAGTCATACCGTACCTGAGCAAGCACGACTGGAACCCATAGGGTATGAACACATGTTATGAAAACACATCCCACTCATTCGGGTCCCAGTTCGGTTCTCAACAAAACCCTCTCTTGGAAGCTGAGGTTCGGTTCGCGCCTGCCACACCCAGCCACCACACGCCGCCACGGGGGGTCTTGTTACTCTCCAAGAACTCTTTGGTATTTGCTCTCCCAGACACAACTAATGGGACTATAATGTCTACATTGTCTACATTGACCCCCCCAAACCACCCTACATCGAATGGCAGTCCGAATGGCAGTCCCACTGGCAGTCCCAGACAGCTCGTGTCTGGGTCTCATGGAGCCACATGAGTGGGGATTGACCACAGACCTGCAGCTGATCCACAGGAGTAGCATGGCACCCAAATGGACTCTCGGAGACAGGTTCCAAACCGGATCCCACCTGGCGATGGCGCCGTACGAACCTCGGAAGCTGGGATGGCCTTGGGTGGGGCACTCTGGCCAAAATGTCACAGGTGAACGGCAAAAGAGCTGATGATCGACCATGGTTTCCACTCGATTTTTTTGGGGCGCGCGTGGAACCATGAACGTTGGGAAAGCCGTTGGAACCCGCCTATATAGAACCTGCAGGTCTTTTTCATGACGTGTCTACCACATGCGGGCGTCAACAAAACCAACGTTCTCCAGTAACGCCTACTTCACCTGCATGCCAAATCATGCCAGAGGCTTCATGGTCATGATGTGGCATGATGATGCATGATGAATATCAGGGATTTTCAGCTAATTACGATGGATCACATCCAGGAACCCGACCAACCAACTGGGTGATTGCTCACAGACCGATCCATCCACACCAAGACATCCATCCACACCATCGCGTCACCGAACCACCCCGGCCCGACTCCACGGACCGACTCGACTCGACCGTCTCGGTCTTCGGGCGAAGGTGAGTCGCGCTTCGACGAGGTCTTTGAAGGCAGCCATCTCCTCGGCTTTTCGGTCCCCGCGCGCCCCGGCTGTTCGGTCCACCGTTCTCTGAAGCTGTGCACGATCGCAGACTTGCCGTGCGTGCAGATAGATAGATTGGTGCCGAAAAGACATGAAGAGCCCAGGAGAGAGGTCCTCATATCGTTGAACACCCCATCGCTTGCCACGGAAATCCAACTCAAAGCCACGCTTCAAATCAACACCCCGTGGCAGCCGCCACCTCTTCAAGTGAAGTAATATTCTGGTTGGTAGTTTCAACATGGTTCACTCACTTAAGAAACTATATATTGAGTCATTATGAGTCGGTGGGCTCAATCCTTCCAAGTAAAGGTGCGAAAAACATGAACCAACATATCATATCTGTCCTTTATAAAGCAAAATCGGACACATTCTGAAACATTCTGAACACCACCACTCAGTGTTCCCGAAACCCAGCCCCTCAAGTCCTGCCTGTCCAAAACATCGGTACCGTACCTCCCTACGTCGACTCGAGGCGACGTCGACATCACCTCCCACGTCTTCCAGCCGTTCACCGCCACCAGCTCGTCACCGCTTTGGATGATCCTGCCACCGCGGTCCGGCCGCCGCGGGTCTGTCATCAGCCGTCCAGCGGGCGACTGCCGTGAAGCAGGCGGAACGGCTCAGCGGCTCCAGACGTGACGCGGTGGCTTTTCTGGAGCCACAGTTGGTGCAAAGCAATATCGCATCCTGAAGCATCATGATGTATTATATAAATTTGTATTGGTTTGCTTTCCTGAAGCATCTTAAGTGAGTCAGGAGTTTGGAGGATTGTGCTTCACAAATGCTTAAAACAAAAAGCTTCCATCGCCGCGCGACTTTCTCGCTTGATCCGCCGAAGCCGAACACCGAACCGTCTCCCTGTCCAGCTGTCTTGGCTCTGGGCGGCATTCCACCTGGCGGTTGGTCGTGGCTACTCCGCTAGCTAATTGGTGAAACTACAGAATCTTTATCCGGATTCCAGATTCCCATATCAGGTGGTGATTTCAGGAATCCTCAAGATCACCAACAACATCCCCTATAGAAGCTTGAAGAATTCTTGAGCAACTTCAGAATGAACTGCTCTAGACCTGGGATTCTTACCCCAGAAGATCCCAGTTACCACTTACCACTCACCCGGGTTTCCTCCTTCCTTCGGTCCATGGTTTGAGTCGTTGCCTGGAACCACCAGCGAATCACCGTGGGAGCGCCCTGGGTACACGACACCGACACCACGACCGCCTCGCTGCGGGGCCGCCCGAGACCAGGCTTTGCACGATCCGCTTGCGTGCTGCAAAGTGCTCTTTGACCTGAGCAAAATGGACATGGTCCGCCCTTCAGCAGGGCGGTGAAGAAAAAACATCCGCCAACAGAAAGTGATGGTTGATTTGTTGCTTTGCATTCAGTTTTTTTTATTTTTGTTGTATATGTGTTGTTCAAACAGCGGCCTGCTTGTAGGTGGCACTGGTTGGCCTGAATTGCTGGGGATGTGTGTGCGTTTTCTGTGAAATAAACTCCAACACTTTCTGGACCAAGTCATTGTGACACAAACGATGAGCCTTAGACGCTGAGCCTTAGACAACAGGCACTGTGCGTAGGAATGGAAATGGAACATTCTTCACCATCCACCTACTGCACCTGTATACCCCTTCAGATCTAATTGATGGTTTCAGCTCACGAAAAAGAACATATATCAGTCATTGGGTTCAATCATCCCAAAAGTAAAACGGTCGAAAATGGTAAAACATGGTCAAACAAAAGACACATACCTAAAACATGGTTGAAAAACATGGTTGAAACCCACCACCCAAATCCATCACCCCGTCACCGATCGCACCCTCCGGACCTTCCCACCGGTGGACCCCGGTCAACCAACCTCGACCGGCGACGGCGTCCAGCGAATCGGGTGCTCCGTGCCCAGGTGATGCCCCAGAGTTCCGGAGCTTCGCGCTGGAGCTCCACCTGACGCGTTTGGCCAAACGAAAGGCGTCGCGGCGAACGGCACGGATTTGTTGTTTTCGATTTACCGGATTTGTATGCCAAGATGACAGGCCTCATTATAAGTGAATGCCGCAACAAGATACAGAACACATGAAAAATGGTCCTTAGGCTAATTGTTGATCCTTTTTCTTCGAAACAAATCAAAGGAGGGCCAAAGGGCTGGTTGATCAGAGCCTGAAAGGTCCGGGACTCCAATGCATGGGCCGCATGGATCGCCTGAACGCGGATTCATCCGGTGAAAGCCGCTGGTTTCATCAGTTTGTTCGGGTGTAAACCTGCTGCTATTTAAGACACTCCTGCTGGAATACAAAGGGGTTAAGTGGACGTGGATGTTCACCACCTGTTTTGGTACTTGGATTTCATGGTCATCCAAAGAATTAGTGAATACCATAGAATACATCCATTTTGTTTCTTTCACCATGCTTATTTCAGGGAATGTACTATAGTGAATACAGTGCTGTACAGAGCTGTACTCAATTGACGCCTTTCAGAGTAAACCACTTACTGTCAAATGGACCAAAGACCAACCCTATCTGACAGCACTATAGGAATATCATAGACCTTGTAGAATACATAGACCTTTGGGTCTATCCCATTACCAGGGCCCAGTTCATCATGATGGGCCCAGGTTGCAAGGCGACATCTCAAACTATAGAGTGATACTCTTCAACCGCCGACGATGCTGGTTTAACTGGGACAAAAGATAGCTTCTCATAAACAGGTTCTCGCTTCTCCGCCAGTCGGCACGGTGGCACGAGCACGCAGGAGCACGTTCTGCCCCTATGAAAACCGAACTTTGGAAGAATCCTTCAGTCAAGCACTGCCCTGTTCTACGAGAAAACCACATGCTGTGTTTGTTCAACTTGGGGGTTACTCAGACTCTAGGTGCAGGACACCATTGGAGCAGGTATCAATTCAGATTCCAGGAAACCATCATCCAAGAATTATTGAGGCACCTAAACCATCAACATCTAAAGCATCTAAAGTCGCTCAAAAACATGTTCTTGTTCACTGCCCCCGGCCTCCTATGCTTCTTTTGTTCATTTCGAAAACCGAGCACTGCTGTCTGCCCTCTTCAGCCCTCCCAACAGGATCTCCTTCTCGTTCGTCCTCACGAAGTCAATACCTTGGGATTCACTCTGATGGGGGCAGTTGGCACCAGCGACACGGGCTCATCCTTCCTCCCAGTTTGCAGCAGGTGACCGTGCATGACCCCACCTAGACCCGTTGTCAGATCACACGTCTGTTCAAAGACCATTTGCTCGGCTCACCTTTGAAGTGTGCACTGCTGTTCAACACGCGGAGAACATGTTTTTTTGGACACGCCTCAAGTTTCCTCTGCCTGGGAACTCATTCTCCCCAGATCAACGCCAAGCTGCAGCGAGACAAAATGGCATCTGCCATCGCCTCAAGTGTGCAGGATTCCACCCAGGCCCCCGGAAAGCAGTTTAGAGGGTTTGCTAAACAAAAAGCTCTCTCTCTCTCTCTCTTGAGAAACACATAGTAGTACAAAGGGTCGTGATTCCACATGCGCGAACAAATAAAACAGGCACCTTCCCGACCAATGAACTGGCTGGGACAAAGATCAATTGTATGCACTCCTGTCTTTCTCAAATGATGACGATGATGACTGGGGGGAGCAAAACCAACTCGTTTCTATTCAACAAGTACGATTAAAGTTGAATCTCAATTCAACAACATGATCTCAACATATCTCAAACGCACGTTGCCCAAAGTGCCCCCGGGAACATGATGCCAATGACAGGCACGTCCATGCCTGCACCAGTCTGAGGCCCGGACTATGCAGTAGTTGCTATCGAGCCATGGCGCTGCACCAGAAAGCAGCAAAGCAAAAAAAGAACAATAACTTGGCCTGAGATAACTCACTTGGTGTGAGACGGAGTTGACCACCATGTAGGACAGGCCACTAGCCCGCCTGAAGAATAGTTTTGGATCCAATGTCAGTGAAGCGAATCAAAAGTCTGGGCAATTAAAACGGAAGTTGCAAAGGACTTTCCGGTTTCTCTGCAGGAGTTATTGCCAAAAACCATGCTCCATCACTTCTCATTCGTCTCCGTGCCCCATGCTTGTGCTTCCGTTATATCAAGAAGTAGCTACCCACGCTTGACTAGTTTGCCCCTTGTTTCAAGCAGATTTCTTTCTACAAGAGACTCATCCGTCATTGATGATGAATGCTGAACACTAAATCTGTCTGAAGGGTGCCTTTCCCAGTTTTCGCTAACTATATAGGCTTCTATCTGCAGGGCGTTCATATTTGAGCTAGTTGTGGAATGGTTACTTGTCTCACTCAGATGTGCTGATAGAGGCTGGCAAGTCGAGACAAATAGGTTAAGTTGACTATTTGTGACCTGGGCCTGGATATTGAACCACCAATTCCTCAATTTGGATGACTAAACATGCAAACCAAGTGGCAGGCAAAACTGTAAACATGGCTTGGTGTTGACCAGCTTGGCACCCAAAGCATTTTTCAGTTTTGTCAAGGAATCCTGAAGCAACGTCAAAGAGTGAATTATCTTGTTCAACATCTCTAGATCTCCAACGTGTCCAAAGAAAACGAGCAAACCACAAACATCATAATGCATAAGAACCCCAGGCACCCATGAATCTATCAATGTCCTTCTACAGGACTTATTGGGGTCCCCTTGCCACCCAGAAGTAGCTGTGACTCACCAAAGAAAAGCCGATCGGCCACCAGAACCACAAAAGAAACTTCATCAGTCTTCATCTACACAAACAATGTTGACCTCCTTACTAGTCTATTCTGTTTTTATTTTGTGGTCCACCAGGGCTCCACAGCCATAGTCTATTTCCTCACCAGGGGGTTGAGGTCTGCAACTCTTCGCTTCTGGAGGTCTTCAGGTTTCCGCCCAAAAGGCCCACGGCTGCAACGGCATCTTCATCTACACAAAGAAGATCCACTGCCACCTTCTCAGGAGGTACGACTGGGCCCGATCCAGGCGCCTACATAAATAGTCTCCTTCCTCACCGTAAGGTTCGGTACGACTGGATCCCTAGGGTACACAAAGAAGATCCTATTTGGTCCACTTGCTCCATGCAAACTTCTTCGAAACCCACCGAGGTGGTTGGGTCTCCAGTGGTGTCGCTCCAAACCCACCGGGACTGGCGCTCCAAAGATCTCTCGAGCCACGCCGTTTCTTCGCGAGAGCGGGCGCGCGCGTGCTCGACTCAGCGCCGCTCTCCTGAGTGCGGGGGGGGGGGCAGGTGGTCAGTGTCGTTGGGACGAAGCCATGGTGAATGGGAATCCAAACTGATTCTTGGAGAGGTCAAAGTATCCACTTCAGGAACTTTTTGGAACTGTTAAGGGATCTTTGGAACGTATGAATTGCTTGGGATGTTGTACATTTGTTCCTTTTCACAGCACGTACACAAGAACCTCTATTAGTCTATAGGTGACCCCTTGACAGTTGTGGGCTTCTATGAGTGTTCTTGAAAGGGCTGAAGAGGAACGAAAAAGCAAACATATACAAGTATATACGAGCAATTATCGTCAATAAATGTATGGGGAACATATGGGAACTCGGAACACTCATATGGGATTTGTGGTGAACTAACTCTCAGCAATGACATATATATACCTGCGGCCTGAAGGTCGCTTTATTTCTAGTCGTTTGAAAAAACCCTGCAAATCTGAGGCCCCCACAAGGCTATGACAAGGTTTTCAGGCGTTTGGCATCTTCGATCAAAAAAACAGTCGTTTGCCATTCTTGCAAACCTGATGGTTCCTCCCTCTCCCCCAGCTTGCGTCTCGCAGCTTTTCTATCCCAGCTCAAGCATCATTTTGGTGGCCCTGCTGGTTTAGCCCGAGGCCCTAGCCTTCCGGTGTGGAATTCCGTGTTCTTCCACATGATCAAGCTCTTGTCTGGTTGCTAACAGATATCGTTGGATGGTTCTAAGCGATTGAAGCCTGGGAGATACACGCCGATTGAGCCTGGACACCCGCCCAACCATGTCTTCATCTTGAAACGTTGAATAGGCCAAGGGGTTGATGATGTAATCCGAATTCGCTTTCCCCACATTTAGTGCGAGATGGTGCCAAAGATGTAGTTTTGGCACCAAATTGTACAAGCACTGACCTTCCTTGAAAAGTAGTGTACCAGCTTTCCATAGCACTGCGCAAAATGCAGGGCTGCATCCCCAACGATCTTTGCTTCTGACCGATCCAGCCACAAAGCTGAAGACAACATCGTCCTCATACAGACACCAATGGCTTTGCAACCACTCCGGATCAGCAAATCAGGGGTGGATTCACCACCAAACTTTTCTACAAGCCACTCTGCGAATTGTACAACTACAGGGGTGTCCATTGCCTTGTTCCAATGCCCAACCGGGTAAGCTTTTGAAGAAATGTAGCCAAGTAGATCTTTTGTGATCTGCTTGAAGTGCACAACCTTCTTGCTAGAAAGCAGAAAGGATTTGAAATCTGAGTTGAGCTTCTCAATAGCCTTGGGGATACTTTCAGCTTCATACAGGGTCATAAGGTACACGAGGCTGGATGCTCCAAAGTCTCGGCCAACACCAAGATGGTAGAGGTGAAGAACATCCAACTTGAAGAATGATGGGGGATCTTCCGGCGAGTGCGGCAGAAACTGCAGAAATGGGGGGTACCTTTCCCACGGTAGAGGGTTTCCCTGGCCAGTGGTCCTCAACCATCTTGGGTTGTCCGAGAAATCCTCGAATGGTATGCTGCCATCGGGTTGCTCAGAACCTGCCAAGCACAAAAAGCAGCAGCCTGTCAACGGTTTGCTGCTTGGTCCTACTGGTCGCTTCCTGATGTGAAGAAAAGTCCGATTCATGTTGCCAGCTTTGGCTAGGAAGGGCAAATCGCCCTTGACCCCAATCACACAGAATTTGAATACAACTCCGGTCCTCTCATGTTTGACCCCAACATGGTACAAAGACTGGAGATCCAAGGCCATGTGCTCCAAGAATCGCTCAAATGTGGACGGGTCATTCGAGTAGATTGCCTTTTGCAACACTCCAAAGAGGAAACGGGTGGTGAAGGAATGCCCTTTCAAAGATACACCAATTGAGTTTGGCTTGACTGGGCGGGAATGCGTCGTTCCATGCCCCATGCATGGTTGAAACTGGAAAATCATCAGCTCGTCATGTTTGTATGTCCTGCCCCCATCACCATGTATGTACACTGGTATCAATGTTCGTGGATCCACCAGGCCATCCGCCAAGTCTTGACAAACCTCCAACTGAGGTTCAGCTTTGGAGAGCCGAGCCCAGAACTCTGACAGGGCCCCAGCACCTGAACGAAGCGGCCGAAGGTTGGAATGATAGTAGTGGTTTCAGAATAGATGACCCAACGTTTAAAAGATGTTTTATGGGGACCTCGATCTAAAGGATGTCTTGCGGGCTGTGCCATCTTCTCTGAAACCTTTATTGAAACATATCATACATCAGTCTGGAGAAAAAGGTTACCCCAAATATCAGCACAAGAAACTAGAATCTATTGGGCAGCCAATCAGTCGATGAAGATAGCCACGTTCATTGAGAGTACGTACATAGTCCGTTGGTTTCAAGCACGGGACCAAGCACTGCTCTCCAACATTCACATATGTGACAGGAGCATCTAAGGTTAAGTCAAATTTGCAGAGTGCCTTTTGCATGGCTCGTTCAGCATCATTCTGTGGACATCTTGCGATAGCACTGAGCGCTCCGTCACTCGAGGTCTTGGCAAATGCAGCAGCAATGGCCGCTACATGCTTTGCAGGGGCCTCAGCGCAAAGGTAGGAAGTACGATGGGGCCAAGTGGGTGGCTCGTGGATGATGGGGGATGTGGAAACGACTGCTTTCAGCACAGTTGCATGCAAAACGAAACCTATACATCAAATCATCTATAAGACTAAATGCAACCCTTTGACTCTGAACCCCCGAGTTTCCAATCAGCGGCACAAGACTCATTTAGAACCTTGTGAATTAAGCTTGCCACTGTACTCAGTTGGTCATAAAACAGCATGACCACAATCCGCCCTTGCAGCTACACAATAGCAATAGTATGGTGGCGGGAACTTTGGTGAAAAGGAGGCAGTTCTCATGCCTTCACCTCCTGTTCGAACATTGCGGCAAGTTTTTTGCCTTGGTAGTGCAAAATCAGAGCAGCCTCCAGCATTTCCACTTGTCCCAAATCTGAAGAATAAAAAAGAACAAGCATTTTCTCCCAACCATGTGACCCGTAAAGATCAAAACGGGAATCGTAGTCATGTGTGATCCCTATCTTGAAGAGCGCCAATTGGTCCCCTCCAGTGCATGCACGTAGTTTCCCAATGCCAGACCGACAGTGATGCAAGATTGCACCTGCCAACCTCTTGTCAGAACCAATCTCCCAAAAATGAACACCGTGCGCATGGAAGGATTTGGGTTTGGCAATGGCAGCGCGTGGACCTTGGACCTCTATGAGCTCAGAGTCACTATCGCCCCAAGGGAACATACATTTGTGCTGCTCCATGAACTCCTCATAGCGGTTTGTGGCCATTGCTCACCATGAAGGGGAGGGCACCCCAGGACAGAACGCTGGGGCTAGGAACTTCGTGGAAATCGTTATGCAAATTCAGCTAGCTTGTTTTTTGCAAGTGTTTAGTGTAGTAGGCAGATAGCTCAAAGCTTGAGGGCTGCAAAGCTAGCAGCAAAAGAATCCAATCCAAGATGTGTATATATAAATGGGCTTGAGAACATGTTGAGGTCCCAGCTCCCATAGAAAGTTGCTTTCTCAACACTTCCACTTCGCGATGAGGTTGTTCAGCAACAACACCTGCAATGGGCAAGAGTTTGGGCCTTATCTATGCACTGTCATGGTCGAAGCGGGGGGCTTAAAGGCAGAAGGTAAGCTCAGGGAAGCTGTCTCAGCAAAACTGTTTTTGCTTCTGCGGTCACCTTGAATCACCACAGCTGCTTGTGAACTTGAATTAAAAGTGGCCAGACCCAGCAAGCGAACCTAAGTGTTCTTCCTGCATAGATCAGACGGCATCACACCTTCGGTGTATACAGCTCCAATTTTGTCATGGAACATGTCTACTTTCTCTGTCTCTTTTGCTTCCTACGTGCCGGCTCCTCCGGCTCTACTACTTCATCGCCCTTCCCTTCTTCAGTTGCTGCACGCTTGGTCTTGATCTTTTTCAGCTTCCTGGATTGAGTTGGAAGGGACACAGGTGAGGTGCTCACTGTTCACGAATCACAAGGAACAATGAAAGCGCTGCATGTAATTACTGCATGGGTGCTGTGAAGGTGCTTGTTCTTGGCCTCCAACGCCACAGCCAAAGCAAGCCTTTCACACTTTAGCCATGCTATCCCTAAATTGTTCAAAATGAACATAGCCTGGCAAAGGGTTTGTCAGTGCACTACAAGTGGCCAAGTAGCTCCCGCTTGATCCCATCAAATTTTGGCTTCATGCGTTCTTTTAGCCTGATGGGAGTTTGACGAAAGACCCTCAAGATTCCAAGCGAAAGTTTGACAAACCTGCACCCCTTGCCAGTAAGGTCCAAGGCACCCTTCCTGATTTCCAAGTTTGATATCCGCTTGGATCTTTGCCAGATCATCATAGAGAGCGCCAAGATTGGCAATAGCCTTCTTCATTTTCTCCACCTCCCTTAATTGAGATCACGACTTGGGGCTATGGATGGTAGCAACATTTGTTGCACTTTTGCGTGACAGTTTACACATGCACATGTGAGGACAGGGCACTCAGATGCCTGGCGATCAGATGTGTCAATGCGGACCATGAACTTATGTAGTTTATCCCGCGCGTCAACGCAAGCCTTCAAGTACCGATCCACGGAATCAGCCTGAGCACTGTCTTCAACAACTTAACAGTTAACATAATATGTTAAATTTCAAAATAGAAAATCACAAGCTCGAATGGGTGATATAGAATATACTTGTCAGCAAGGAACACCATCCACCCCCGGCTCAACAGTGCACATTCCCGAGCTATTCAATTCCCATTCATCAATGCCAAACGATGCGATGCTTTGGACATCGGCTTTGCCATTGCAAAGGGTGCGGTCCATCACGCCTTCCCGCTCCTCAGTGCCAGCCTTGCCTACCGTTTTGAACTCGACCCAGTATTCGATGAGGTCCTCATCATACTTGTTTCTCCTGAGTCCATGTCAGCGATCAACTATAAGCCATGAAGGTGGACAACATGCCAGAACAATTAACGCAGAACGTGTGCAAC